TCCAAAATTAGGAATATCATGGAAAATAACATCCCACTGAGTTCTACCTAAAACTTTGATTTCAGATCCATCAAATTGTTTTATACACATATTTTGTCTCTCAACAATACCATTCGGCCAATATTTATAAAAATTTTCACTAGACATTATTGAAATACTTGCCCCGGTATCAAATAACATTTCAACCATTTGTCCACCAAATTTTAAATTAATATGAGGACATGAACTCTGTTCTTTTGCTCCCTCAGTTATTAAATTTTTAGGCATTTTAATGAGTTGAATGACATTTATTTTAATCTCATTGTCAATATAATTAATATTCATACCTAAATTCATCACAGAATTTAAAAGTCTCTGAATTTCATTTATGTTTTTATTTAAAATTTTCCCTGGATATATATCACTCATTTGATTACAATAATCCTTTTTATTCAGATTATTGTTTAATTTAAAATTTTTTATTTCACCAAAATGACAATAAAAATTTCCAACATTACAACTCTTTTTATTCAAGTTAAATTTCAATGTATAATTCTCATTCCCATGATGATTATCTATTTTAATATATATATCCACAAAATTTTTAATAAAATTATATATATCACAAAATTTAATATTTTCAAAAATTAATTTATCTATTTTTATATGATTCTCTTTCAAATCATATAGTCACTGTAATCCACTCACACTTTGAATACAATTGATAGCAATGTGTCCCATTTCTTCACATCGGAAACACATTCTGTCACGATCTGTATTGTTATTTTCAATTTTATCCACATTTTTAATAATAGGATTTTGTATATTTCTAACCACCGGTTGTAACACTACCGAGGTTCTTTGTGGAAATCCACTTTTAAAATTTGCTTCTTTAACCATTTTCGTTTAATATGTCCTACAAAACCACATCTATGACACACAATGTCATTTTTTTCACTTGGTTTTACATTACCATTCTCATTCATTTTTCGGTCTCTTGAATAACAATTTTTACCGATATGTTCTCTTCTTCCACAGAGTTCACAACTTTCAATTATATTATTATTTTTAATTTTTAAGTTGGACACATCTTTGGACAAATTTTTCATATTTTCTTTCATTTCTCTAATTTCACTTAAAATTATAGATTCCTCAGTACTTTGTCTCAAAGTATTATCTTTATTATAATTTTTTACAATTTCAACAGGTTTCTCAATTAAAACCTCTGAAATTTTTTTTTTAAATTCAATCACTATTGAATTTAATTTTTTATTGATATCCTCTGATATATTATTATTCTGAGGCAAATTAAATACTTCACCAGTATCTAATATTTTCTCGGATTTTTCCTCCGGCATAATATTCTTTTTATCATTTATTTTTTTTAATTCTATCAAAATTAAATGTAAGCTATTTTGGATATCCTCAGAAATATCTGGAGATTTCACCAAAATTTCAGAAATTAAATTTTCAACATTAGTATTTTTTATATCATTTTCTTTATTTTTAATAGATCTTCTTTTTATTTTCTTAATTGCATGTTTCATTGTAATCAAAGTTACATAAAACACAAAAAAAATTACTGGAGTAATGATATTATTAGTTACATCCACTTTATTAAATTTTGAATTAAATATTTTATTAAAATGATCCTTATAATTCTGCATTTTATCAAAATCAGGCTTACGATGAACAGTAACAAAAGAAAAAGCCATAATTTCATTAATTATCCAAAATTTAAATTTTTATCTATATTTTTCTAATTTTAATCCAAAAATCCTACTATTGCGTTGTGTAATTTAAAAATCAAATAAAAAAATTTTCTTACTTTTAAATATCCAGAATCCACTATAATTTTGAGGAACCCGATCCTAGAAAATATTTTTGTTGATTAATAACGTCTGAAATTTATTTTTATAAAACACTCTTGTTTTATTTTTTCCTCTAAATATTTCAATTTTTATATTTTTCTCAAACTTATTTTTTCCCTAATAAGTGTTAACGTATCTTGGTCAGTCGGTACCAATAAAATAACTCTAATTTTAATAAAATAACTCTAATTTTAATAAAATAACTCTAATTTTATTTAATTTAATAAAATAATTCTCACAATCTTGTCATAATTTTAATAATAATATAAAAACATTCATTTTTTTTTTAGGTTATTACAAAACCTTCCGCGCCGATTATCATATAAAAATCAATATCAACAAAAATCAATATTATTACTAACTAAATATATATTTATAATAATTGACATCTATCAATCATTTAAGAATAATAGTTTAAATATATATATAAAATATATTATATATATATATAATATACATCAATAATGACAAGTCGTTCAAAGATATTGTATGGTTAGTGTTAATTAAAATATGTTTATAATGATTTTATATGTTATAAAACCTGTTGCTAAGGCTCTTTCAATTTTAAAACATTTGGGAGATATCTCACTCCCATGATAACTAATATAATATTAAAACTTAAAAAAAATACTTTAAATTATTTCAAATCTATAAACCACTTATTAATGCAATCCTACAAACATACATAAAAGGTATACATACAGCTAAAATATTAAACAACAAACAGACTTTGATCCCTTTAAGAACAACAAAAATACCAGATTATTTTCTGATAAAGATAAAAAAAATTGTTGAGGATCTAATGAAGATGCTTTTGAAGATGATCTATTAAGCTTTTTACAAAATATGGATTACTCTTTAATTTTTAATATCCCCCAATTAAAATTTATATTTATTAAATATAGTATAAGCCAGTTGAATGTGTGTTTAGTATAAAGATGTAAGCACAATGTTGTTTATCTGATTAAGAGACCTGCAGTCCCAGGCCATATTTGGCTGGGCTTAAATTTTTTTTTTAAATACCCGAGCCAGGCTTGAAAGTTATTTATAAAAAAAAAATAGTAGACGAGCTGTATATTTTAAAGTATAGATATTTTAAATGGCTGAAATAAATTTTGAATGGTCTGGGCTGTGCAAACACTGCAGGTCTCTGATCTAATCAAGATTTTGAAAATTAATTGTTAAAAATAAAGAAAAAATTATTATAAAAATATCATATCTTAATATATTATTTTATTTTTGTATAATTTTATTTTATTATATAAGAAAAAATATAATTAAAAAGAGATCTCATCTTATAACATATTATTTCTGTATAATTTTATTTATATTATACAAGGAAATTTTCATATATAATATTTAATTTTTCAAGTAAATTTTTTTAGCATTCACTCTTTTCTAGGGTGATTTGTACTCTTTTTTAAATTTTTTTTCTCAGTTTCTTTTACTTATATTTTCTTTTACTTATATATTTTTTTAATTTATTTTTAATATATGTTTATTTGTTTTTTAATATATATATCTTTAAATATTTAGTGTATATATCCTATTTTAAAATAAATAAAATGATTTGAAACTTTTAAAAAAAGTAAAGAGTAACGTGTTATTTTCTGAATAGCCAACACACAATCTTTTTTACACAAGGTAGTAATGGTCACGCGTTCCCTTTTTTATGTAACGAATAACACATTTCATTTTTGAGTTAAATTCTATAGAGCTATTAATAGTATACCTAACAATACTCTGGTGTAGGCCTAAAACGAATTATTTGTTATTTGATATTCGATTCGATTCGTATTTTACGAATACGAATAACACAATAATGAGGAAAATTATTCGTATTATTTGAAATTTTTTATATAAATATTCGTAATTATTCGCAAATATTTTATTGCAAGTAAAATAAAAAGAAGTAATTAAATTTTCCTAGTGGATATCATTTCGTTTTATTTTATTTCCTATTATCAAATATCAAATCATAACAAGTTATATTTGCTGAAAAAGTTTAATGGAAGAAAAGGAAAAGTTTCAAAGTAATATATAATTATTTTATTTTGATTGTTTCTCTTTAATCATTTTTGATGTTATGAACAAGTCAAAACATTTTTATAGAGTGTGCCTCTTTCCCATATTCTCGAGCTCCTGGCAGATAAATAACTAAAATTTTTTGACTAGTTCTTGATTAGGAAAATCCTTTTCCCATTTAGTAACCTTATTTTTGGCAAATTTTAAAGACAATCTAAATCAGATAGTGCATTATAATATCTTCATCCTCTATTACATTGTCATAATCACCTCTAAAAATTATATTAATAATTAAATAAAGGAAATTTATGCTACTAAAGTATTTTTAATAAATAAAATCTATAATGAAATACTTTCTAAAATTTTGTTATATATGCAAAAATGACAATTAGTTTTGAGAAACCTTAAAAGTTTCTTCTTTAAACATCTGTAAAAATTTTTTTGCAAAATATTTTATAAGCTTTAGAAAATTTTTTGAATCGAATCGAAACGAATAATGATTTTATTATTCGTACGAATAGGAATAGCGCAATTATTCGATTCGTTTTTTTGTAATGCCTAATTTAGAATTCTATTTTTAAAATTGAAATGTTAAAGTGAGGTAAAAAATTTATTGTATTAAATTATATAACTATAAATAAGTAATAATTGTTAGATTTTCTATATAAAACATTTTCAAATTTTTTTCATCTCCAATGTGTAAAAAAAAAATTTGTCAGATTTTTTATATGGAAATAAACATGCATAATACAAATATCATAATTTTTAATATATATGAATATAAAATAAAATTATATCAAAAATATTTATCTGAATCTAATATACCCACATAGAGGATCAAAATGTTATTTTTAAAATATCTTTATAAAATTTTGGGTCAGATTCAGCATGCAAAATCAGGCTAGTCTTGGTTATTTTGGAAAATTTTGCGCTGAACCTGGATAAAAAAAATTAGATTTTTATTTGGGTTGGGTGGACCATGAAAAACAGGCCCAATTTTGGGCTCTGTTTAGTTTGTTCAAAAAATAATTTTTTTCTCTGAACATCTTTAAGATTATTATAAAAGAAATCATGTAAAAGAGATTTATTGTGACACATTAATATAAACAAGGTATAAATATTTACCTTGAGGGTATTTTGGGTGAGTATTGGATGATCAAATGATTCTGTGTGCTCAATCCTAATTGGTAGCACATTGGTTTCATTTTTATGTGAGGTGGAACAAGAAGAAAATTTATTTTTAAAGGCCTCAAGTTGAGCTTCCAGTTTTTTGATAGACTGATTAAAGGCAATGCTGTCAGAATGTAAATGGTTATTTTGGGTGTCAGAAAGATATCTTTTGCGTTTACACATTCCTACCTGTTCAGAAGTTTTGATAACTTGATAGTCATTGCATATATGCTCACAATAAGACTCACTGAAGTATGAAGGTAAACTTGTTTCTTTGCCAGTTATTATGGGAATAGTTAAGCATTGTCTGCCACTAACAAGGTATTCCAAGGATGATGAACTAAATGTTTTGGCTATATTTGTTGAGTCAGCGGAAATATGATTGTTATCTTTAGAGTTGATTGAAGGCAATTTGAGGAACAAATATGATCTCCACCTTTCCGAATCAAAACCCCAATGGCAAATGCGGGTCTCTGCTTGTCGGTGAGAATGGCAAACAAATTGTGGTGGTGTAAATAGCAAATGGCAATGCAGGCATTCAATACAGGCTGCCTTAGGGTATTTGTACAGGCTGAAATGGACCTGTCCAACACATCTGCCAAAACATTCATGATACACCTTAAAACTTGTATCCTCATTGTTGTCATCAGTTTCATCATCATCATTAAAATCATAGATTTGATTGGTGGTTATACATGATGTCCCCACAAAATCAGGCAAAGTTTTGAACTTTTTTTTCTTGTGGCGAGTAGCTGAAGCAATATCAAGGTGGGAATCAGAATCAAAAGATCGTGTCTTGATAATATGGGTGATGCTGTTCAAAGATGATAAAGAATTCCTCAAATCTAGTGCTCTTTCTCGGCCACAACAATTCCTCAGCAAATAGTCACACAACCTCTCAGAGTCAGTTTTTGTAATGAGTCCGCAATCCAGTGTTATGTGTGATAAGGCATCTACTTGTTTAAGGGCTTTGAGTTGGCTGGGATCACAACTGGAGCAATATACATGCAATTCTTCACAGGCCGCATTAATGTGTTGCAATGAAAAATCTTTCAGTACTATGTTGAGCACTTGAGGCAGACAAAGACGCTTTTCACCACCTATTTCAAAACAAGATATTTCATGACCTTCAAGAAGAGTGAAAGTCACTTCCCTATGTTGGCAGTTAACAGTTGAGTTAACAATATTATTAACTAGGCTCAAATTAATGTTGCAACCTTTGACATCCAAATTTGAAATTGGGGGAGAGTAATATCTTGGGTTGATCGTTCCCTTAGTATGGTAATCTTTTGTGAAACGAGAATGAAATTTCTTCAAATCGGAATTATAGGAATAAGAATGCACGAGGGTTGCGCATTTATCATCTTTAAAATCCTTATTCGTCGGAATTTTGAGATTAACCCTATTTAAACTGCTGCAAAATGAATTACTGTCATAATTATAATTTATACCTGAAGTTTCTAAAAAATTGTCGGCACTATTAGGTAATTTACGATTATTGTGGGAGTCTACAAAATTTTCGATTCCATTTTCAAAGGAATGAGTTGTATCAAGTAATAAGTCGTCATCTAATTGTCTATTATTGAATTCATGACCATTAAGCTGAAATTCCGCGTCGGTGTTCTGCCGAATTTGGTTGAATGATTTATTATAGCATTGCTGGTAAAAGTAGTACAATCCCAAAATTTGCTTTTGCGAGTCTTTGTACGTGTTTGTATATTTAGCTTCAAAGAATGATTTATTTTGCGTGGCGCCATCGCTGTCCGATAACGCCGATCGCATTATATAACTATATTTTATCTATCAAAACAAGAAAGGACCATGCCCCATTTAAAAAAAATTTAAATAAATTATTTCTTATTCAAGAACGATAACATTATTTTTTTAATAAAAAAATTAAAAATAATAATATTATAAATAAATAAGAGAAGAGAAGAGAAAAGAAAAGAAAAGAAAAGAAGACATTTACAACGCAATATAAATATTTTATATTATATTATTATTTAAAATAAACATACATGTTAAAATTAAAAATATATAAAATAAAAAATGAGAAAAAAAAACGATTAAAATAACAAACAATATCTTTTTGTTTATTTATTTTATTTATCGCCATTAAAAGAATTAAAAAAATATTTTTCTTTTTTCCCGTTTTTTCTTTCCTTCTTTCGTTGTTCGTTCTTTCTTTTTTTCTTTCATATATTAGTTATTTAGATTAATTTATTGAGATCGAAATCAATCTAGATTTAACATAAATATCAGGTTAAAGGTTATATAAGATTTAACAGAAATCGCTTAAATTGCTAAACATATTTGTCTAATATATTCAGAAATTTTTTTATTTATTGTGGCTCGTAAAATAGAAACCACGTACTCATCCAATATTATTGATTTTTTTTCATTCATTTTCCTTTTTTCTTACGTTATAATTTTAATGGCTAGAAAAATAATAATCGATCGGTTTAATCGCATTCGCAATACAAAGTATAATAAAAATATATTTGTGTTTAAGCCATACAGGTTAATTTTATGAACGAAGAAATTGACCTAGATCAAATTATAATATAGAATGGGTTGGAGCTTATAATCGGTCCTCAGAAATAATTTATAATATTCTTTGACAAAATGTGTTTAGTTTGTGAGGGATTTAAAGTTAATTTCATTATTTAGGTATTTTGACACTATGGATATAAAACATCTATCAAAACACAGTTTATATAAGTCAAAAATTGTAATTTAGACCATTTTTTTAATATTTTTATATAGTTCTTTTATCGCTTTAATCAAAAAGAAAGGGTCAAAGCTCATCACAAAGGACATGCTAGAATATTCAGCATCATAGGTAAGTTGTCGAATAGAATGGCTTCACGTCCCAAATAATTTATATAATCTTCATGATGTTTGTAACTCTCAATTTGGAATAAAAATATTAATTCTTGTTAAGTGTCGAGTCTTTTTCCTACCTATGTAACTAAAGACAAAATTTTATAGAAATGAATGTGAATAATAAATATAAGTTTAACCAAAGTTAAATGCAGTGGCCCTACAACGGGAAGGGAGGGTGGGGTGGGAGGGGGTCCGAAGCAACTGATTCTAAAAATTTGAAGTACCTTACAAATAAATTTTAAAATGGTACAAATCGATTCCTTTTGTTAAAAATATTTTATAAATATATAAACCTGTGCGCCGACGAAACTATCGGCGGCCGGCGCAATTTTCAAAAATCTAATCGACGGCTAGCGGCGCGCCGTATTTTTAGCCGGTCAATTAAATCGGCGTAAATCGTCGTAGTTGTATATTTTTATAACATAAATTTTTTTAATTGCTTATTAATTTTTAAAAAAAAACAAATAAATATACACTATTCTACAGATATCTCGGCATATTTTTTATTTAATAGAAAACTTATTATATCCAAAATCGATTTCGTAATTTTATAATATCATGTATAAAAATAATTTTATTTAAATTTTCGGAACATAATGATGATCTCCTTGAATTTAACGTCAATCCAGCGGTAAATAAAACTCTTTCACTAGGTGTGCTAGTCTCCCAAATGCAAAGAATTTTTTGGCGAGCCTGGAAAGATTGGGAAGTTTACTCTTCTTTTCTCTCCAATAATTTAGAACGTCCATATCTTGTGAATGCCGTTTTCCAAGAAAACTGTGTTTCTTGTTCTAAATCACCTAACTTGGAATCATAATTTTTATTGTTAAATGTTTATTTGCCAATTTTGTCAAATAACTTGAATTTAATCATTCATCTTCATCCTCATTAGCTATTTACTACCTGATTATCATCATTATCTATAAGTTTAAGATGTTTTATTATACTGAAACTGAGCAATTTTGCTCTATTAAATACTTTGACACAATTGTCAATTTTTAAAATCTTGGATCTAAAAGAGAAGCCAATACCTATATAATTTTAAATTAAAAATAAAAGAATATACTTATATAATATTACTTGCAGATTACAAACCGAAAATCGTTACGCAAGTTTTTTTAGCATATTTTCCTTAAATAAAATAATTTCAGAACTATCACTATCATTTACTATTAAATGTGTTAATTTCACTTCTAAAAAGTAACGCCAAGTTTAAAGTAGGCCCTTTTTGTGAAATAAATTCGACAATTTCTTTAAATTTTGAAAGAAATCCTATAGTTCTTCTACCAGATCAGATTCATAATTTGAGAAAGTGCTTCCCAATTCTTTTCAAAACATTATTAATTAAATTCTTATTTAATCCAGATATGCTCTCTAGCATAATTAATATACTACGCCAACTAGGGACATTTAATTTTAAGGTTTTCATATGCGTGGAATTATTGTTATTATTATCATTAGAATTAGAATTGCCAATTTGAAAACGAGTACCCGGGTATGGATCAATGCTGTCAAGATCTAACATGTCTGATGTTAAATCTATTGTACTTAGACATTTTCTTTGATATTCCTCGAATTCAAATTCAACCTCTGCAGTTTTATATCTTAGAGCAGTAATAATTTCTCTAATTCTTTTGCAAAAAATTTCCAGAGTTAGGAGACTAAAATTATTTATAGAAATATTAAATGTAAATACATCCATTTTAAAAATATGTAAAGTTATGGTAACTTTTGGAATTTTAGATTTTTGATTGATTGAATTCTATAATGACTTCAATATAATTATGATTTTAATATAGTAGAAAATAATTATTCATCAAAATCCTGAATGACATTAAAAAATTACAAGAGTGATTGACCAATTATAAGAATAAAAAGGTATAAAATATGCAAGAAATTTCTGCGCCGGCCGTGCGCCGCCGAAATGAAATCGGCGGCGCGCCGGCTTGATTTTCTTAAACGGCGGCGTTTTTGGCGTGACCAAGCAGGTCGGCGGCCGGCCAGGCCAGCCTGCGCATAGGTCTATATATATATATATTCATTTAATTTTATATAAAAATAAAAACAAACACAAACATAAAATTAAATGTTTGACGTTTCTTAAAATATATTTATTTGCAGTATTTCATTGTAAATTTAAACAACTGCGACATAAACTAATAAAAATATATTTCCTATTTGTTCCGGACTTAGCTTATTTTATGATACCATCTCTTATTAACCAATTTCGTTAATTCTAAAAAAAGATAATAAGTTGTTTTTATTAATAACCTATCCTATAAAAATATTTTATAGCTGTATAGAGTCTAAGGAAACCCGACCTATGGCCGAGCAAAAGCAGGTCAAATGCCCATCAAAAGAGGGGTCTGGGAGACGAAACTAGCAGAAATTTATCAATCCCCCCCCCCAACCCTTAGTAAAATCCTGACAACGCCTATCTAAGAGACCAATTTTAGAAACCCCAATATCTATATGAAATTCTCTACAATGAGTTAGCAAATTTTTAAACAAATTCTATTTTTATTTAATATTGTTACAGTCGATATATTATAATATTTATACAAAATATTAGATTTCATATGTTGGATAATGAAGAATGCATTTATATATACGTGTAACACATAAAAATCTTTTCAGCCCTAAACAAAATTGTTATACTTATATATATTTAGATAAAAAGGCACATGGTAAATGCAAACTGAAGAATGAATGATAAATGTAGGTATCCCTTCGATAATTATAAGTAATAAATAGAATAAATATATTAAGGCGATTATAACATTTTAATTTCAAAAGTTTATGCATCTAGTCCCAATGAAGTTTTATTCATTGAGCTCAGAAATCCTAATATAACGAGTTTAGAATTTATATTTTTCCCAATTTGTTTCAAAAAAATAACGAACAATGCAATTTTCATTTATCTATGATCATCTCCATCGAATTATCTAACATGTTTACTATTTATATTTTTACCCAAGCTTCAAAAACTTACGTATATGACAATTGTCATTTTCTACCAATCTTCTTCATTTAAATCTAAATTTAGCATGTTCAAATGTATATTTTTACCTATTTTCTTCTAAAAATTTTAAAATAACAAATATGACAATCGTCACTTCTCTATGGTTCATCTTCACTGAAATCTTAATTTTAACTTGTTTAAAAAAAAATATTTTTTAATCCATTTATTTCAAGGAATTTAGAAAAATTTAGTAAATTACCCAATGGGAAATATAACATTTTATTTATACTAATTTTAAAACATTAAAATTTACAAACTATTACACCTGTATATTAAAATCGCATATAAATTTTTTATTCATGTAATATACAAAAGATTTTTTTGAAACTTCCAATTTTATTTAATCTTTGAAGATATTATTCAAAATCTTTTTAATATTAAAGATCAAATTTCGTTATCTTTGAAAATCGTTGCTCAATATCTTTTTTTTATAAGATTTTCAAATTTTGTTTCTTTAATTTTAAGCATATGTTTAGCACTGTAAGGAAATGATTTTTAAGTTAATCCCGGCTAGACTTTTTAAAGCTATGCATTTATAGGTGTGAACCCTCCCTAAACAAAATTAATAGCTAGGTCACTGCTTCAAGTCCCCTCCACATAATCCCAGGGTTTAAATTCCCCATGCCCCAAGGCTTAATATTTTAAAATTTGACTGTGGATTCCTTCTTTGCAAGCCATAGAGAAATTTTCCTAACATTCAGGTCATCGAGGACTTACCACATCAACATAATATTTGACTAAATATAAAACCATTTATCTTACGAATATTTTTCTTATATTAATGACCTGCCATCTTTGCTAGTATTCCCATACTATTCGCTTTCAACCTCACTGAAATGAGTTTCTCTCATTACCAACACATCATCCATATAGTAAAATACTCTTTCTAGACCTTGAAAAACAGCCGCCATTGTTCGCTGAATAATCGGAGCCGACACGCTAAGTCCAAACGGTAATCTACAAAATGCATACAACCCCCTTGGAGTAGTGATAGTTAATAATCTTTGTACTTCAGATTTTACCCGTAATTGTAAATATGCGTTGGAAAAGTCTACCTTCGAAAAGTACATACTACCCTTCAAATTGGCCAATATT